TGTATGTATGTATGTATGTATGTATGTATGTATGTGCAGAAAAAGAGAAAGACATTGTCATCTTTTTAACTAGTTAGGCAACTCAGTTCCACAATTCACGATTAACCTCTTAACTGAGGTTTAATTCTAAAATTGGAAAGAGACAATGAATAAGTTGAACCTCAATTATGAGTTAACCGTCAGTTATGAACTGGACCTTAGTCTATACAAATTTAGCATTTTTACTTTCTAAGATCACAATTTTCATCCCAATATGTATTTTATGTGTATGTACATACAACAAGCGTGAGAGGTAGCAATCAAAGTTTATTCAGAATATACATACAGCTTGAGGAAATAATAAATAATTTACATTGAAAATTTAAATATAATACTTACATATTTTTTACATCGAATTTTTACAATAATCAAATGACTTCATTAAATGAATTGACACATTGGTAATTATTTTATCACCTCTCTTTTCTCTATACTACAGCCCAGTTACCTCGAGAAAATGAAGCAGCCAACAATACTTTGTCGAATACCAAGAAGCCAAGGGGACGTGGGCTTTTACGCTCACTGTTCTGTTGCTTTGGAAGAGGCCGTAGTGGTAGTTCAAAGAGCTCCAAGGCGAGTTCTTTACAGGGTGAGGGACGTGGGTCACCACCACCTGGCACCGGATCCCCGAGATTTCTCTTACCACCAGTTAGGCACCAAGATATGCACAAAAAGTGCATGGTAATCGATTTGGACGAGACCCTGGTGCATAGTTCTTTCAAACCTATCAACAATGCGGACTTTGTTGTTCCTGTAGAAATTGACGGTACGGTACATCAAGTGTACGTCTTAAAGAGGCCTTATGTGGACGAGTTTTTGCAGAGAATGGGTGAATTATATGAATGTGTATTGTTCACTGCAAGCTTAGCTAAGGTAGGTTTATGATAATAAACAAGTAATTATCTTGTGAAATGAACAAAATTTTAGTTACAATATTTAATTCAAAATGCTTTTACAATAATTTTGATTTAACATTTGTATAGGATTTAGTTCACTGTAAATTTATATACTACCTAAAATATTTATATACTAGTCAACTGATTTTGACTTAGAAAGAAAAAATAAAGAAAATAAAATTATATCAAATTATTTTATATCTTTGTAGTACGCCGACCCAGTGGCAGATCTGTTAGATCGGTGGGGAGTATTCAGAGCAAGGTTATTCAGAGAGTCCTGTGTGTTCCATAGAGGAAATTATGTTAAGGATTTGAACAAGTTAGGACGGGATTTGCAGCAAATTATTATTGTAGATAATAGTCCTGCCAGTTACATTTTCCATCCAGATAATGCGGTAAGTTATATATTTATAATGATATTAAAAAGACTAATTTATTTTAGAGGCGTTAAATGAATTTTGGATGATTAACACGTTAAACGTCACACCGGTCTTAAAAACTTTTTAAAATATTTGATTGACAGAGGACTGCTTTAGAGAACAAAACTGTACTGTGCTTTTGTATGACTGACGGACGATTTGTTAGTCATCCCGATAACACTTTGCTTTCTCTTTTGTCCTTTTGTTTACTTTAGCTCACGCTCCGCGTGCACGTTTATCTCTAGTTGACGGTGTGTGAATTTGTACGGTGTAAACGAAAAGTTAAAAGAAATAGGCTCGAAGCCAGGACGACTAACGAATCAATTACACAAAAGATACGATACAATTTTGTTCTCTAAAGCAGATCTATTAAATATTTTGAAAAGTTTTTGGGATTAGCGTGGCATAAACAGAAAGTCCAGGTGCCAATAGGGACCGGAATGGCATTTAATAACGTGTTAATAATAAAGATGATATTTGTTCATAGGTTCCAGTAGCATCTTGGTTCGATGACATGACGGACTCCGAGCTACTGGATTTAATCCCCTTCTTCGAAAAGCTCAGCAATGTAGAAAACATTTACACAGTGCTGTGTAATAGCAATCATCCTTACAATCAGATACCGGCGCACGCGGTGCAGAGCAATCAGAGCCTGCCGACTTCAATTTCAATGGCTGCTTCCTAGCCCCACCTGAATCCTGGCAATACAGCCAGTCTTGTTGCTCAATGCACCTTGCGGAGGATTCTGAGAGGGCTGCTTCATGTGACCCACTTGCTATGTGGCGAAGGACCTCGAAATGCCCCTCCTCGTTGATATTTGGGAAAACCGCTCTGATCAGCGTAGCCAAATGTCTTATATCTTGAAAAGTGCATCATTTAAGTCACAGCTGCTGATATCCTTCTTCCTGGTGAGCAATGTAACGAAGACTGAATCAGCTTCGAAGCGCGAGTGTTCTTCCATTTTGCACCAAGCATACAAAAAAATGACCAACTATGTCGATCCTGTCTGGTAGATTGAAAATACTGTCTGTATTCGACAAAGAACATAGCGAAGGATGGAACCAGGAATCTCCGTCAAGCAGAAAAGTTAATTGATTGCTAAAGAAAAGAAAGCGATGGTTGTGACTGCCTATGGTGATTGTATACTGGAAAAATGTTAAGTGTTAAAAAAAGAAAGAAAGAACGAAAGTATAAAGAGAAAAAAGAAGAGAGATCGCTCCGAGTCGTTTGATGGGCCATGCCGTGCATTGTTACTGTGTAGTTTTTCTATTCGAGTCAAGATACTGCAAACTTTGTTTACTTAGATTCGATTATAGAGAAGACATCAATGCTCCAATTACGTTTACGAATACTTCTGACCCAACTTACAGAAACGTTGAAAAAAAGGAGGGTAACAGTGGCAGGTAGAATTTGAAATATATATTTTATTTGTTAAAAATTTAAGATAGAAAAATTTTATTTTAATTGTGTTATTTTAATTATTTAAAATAATGTAAAAAATCTAAGGCTTATTTTAGAATTTAATATTAAAATATAGCTTTTAAAATGCGTGGATAGAAAGATTAAAACAAGATTCACACACATACTAATATCTAAGCTTTATAAGAAAAATAAAATGTAAAATATAATCCAGGATTCTAAAATTTTGAAAATACAAAAAAGAAATTAGAAATTAGAAATTTTTTAAAAGAAATTAAAATGTTTCAAGTTTTATTCTTTTAAATGTTTAAGAATCTTTCAAAAAACTTTAAATATGCAAGTTTGATCTCAGTAAAGTCCAAAAAACTTCAAAAATATTTTGATGATAGGGATGCACGTATCGTAAAGTCATTGGATACCGGATATCGGATATTCAGCATCACATTGTTTCCAGATATCCGCTCGAATATCAAATAGGGCAATTATCCGTATACTGGATATTTCTTCGGATATCCTGCCATATATCTGGAAAATGGCTTCCAAAAAAAAGAGCAGCAAAGGAAAAATAGCGTAAGAAGTGACAAAATAGCGATAATAATTTCCTGTATCTTCCCAACGTGAAAAGAAAAGTGGAAAGAGAGATGAACTGTGTAAGAAATTTAGCTAAAAAAAAAAAAAATTCTGCATTAATGACGCAAATTGTCAATGTAAAATTTCAAATGGATATCTGGAGACACAGTAGTGTCTCGGCGCTAAGATGTGGTACATATTACCGGATAATGCTGAATACCGAATATTTCCCGGATATATGGTCTGATGCATCCCTAATTTTAAGAATATAATTCGAAATATATATTATCAACAGTAGAATACTACTCGCTTTACACTGCCGAAGAGTAGGAATAACAATTTTCCGCGTATTTTATTTAATAAGTTTCCATTTTTATATTTATAAAGAGTTTGATAAATCACTTGAATCATAAATGTGATAAAAGTGATGTATACCTCACCGACAAGATATTATTAAAGACGGTCGGTCCTGAACAAATTTTTATAACTATTCATAGGGTCCCGAGGGTCCAGAGATAATTGAAGAATGATGAACATTATCAATAATTGATATAAATTATTAACATAAATATTTGGATAATATGTTATTAAATTTATAATTTTTTATTATATAAATGCTGTCTAAATAAGTTTGCACAGTTATGCTATAATATCTTATATATTGTCATAAAATTACAATTTTTTTCTCTGCAATTATCTCTATTGATGATAATCAACCACGGATTATAACATTAAAATCACAATTTTAAAAATCGAATATTATATATGTATTGAGCTTTAAACATATATGTCTACGAAACTAATAAAACATAAAATGATAATATTATATTATCAGTTTCTTACTCTTATGCCTGGTTGTATATCCATGTTACTTTCACTTTAAGTGAGGCTTAAAACTCTATCTCTCCCTCTCGTGGTTTTAAAAAGAGAATGTGAGAGTCTTAAGTCTCGCTTAAAGTCAAAGTAATGTTGATACAACCGGATCTTAGTTTCTTAATCTCTTAACACTTGTGCGAATTTCCGTTAAGCGACCGGCCGTTTTTAATAGTATTTCGTCGATGTTGTATATTTATATACAGGGTGTTTTTCTGACTTGATCATTTAAAGTGTCTTCATTGTTTTTGATGATACGAGAAAAATACCACAGAGGATCTTGTTCGATTTGAAGGAGCACGTATTATGAGCAAAAAAATTTTTCTCAATATCATATTTTTTGAGACTCAATTAAGGGAGACAAGATCTCCTGTGGTATTTTCTCATATCATCAAAAACAAGAGAAATTTAAAATGATCAAGTTACAAGAAACATCCTGTGTGTGTATATGTGAGCGCGTGCACATACATACATACATACATACACATATATACATATATACGTAGAGGTATACAACACCGACGAAATATATGTATATAGGGTTGGCCATATTCGACGGAAAGATGTTTTTTTGTTAATCATGGGAAAAAACGAGAAAAAATGAGAAAATACACGCGTGGCGTGTACTGTTCCATGGTGGCACAAATTTCCTTCGACTGACGCTTCAAACGCGCTACGTCGTTACTCGATCTAACATCTCTGTCAAAAGTTACAGTGTTGCCACATCTTTCCGTCGAATATGCATCTTTCCGTCGAATATGGCCAACCCTGTATATTACACACACACACACACACACACACACACACACACACACACACACACACACACATACAGGATGTTTCAAAATTCGCGTCCGCGAAGTACAAGATGTGATACTTTATGCTAAAAGAAACAACTTTTTTCTTTTGCAAAATGCGTCTGACAAGTAGTTTTTGCAGGAGAGCAGAAGTTAACAAATAAGTGCAAAAATTATTTTATTAAAGAAAAAAGTTGTTTGTTTTAGCATAAGTATCACGTTTGTATTTTTTGAGCGCGAATTTTGAAACACCCTATATATACATACACACACATATATATATATATTACACGCGCGCGCACATCTCTTGATATCTTTTACTCAACAGAAATAGGTATTTTAAGATTTATTGTGAAATCTTTCTCTCTTTCTCTCTCTAAATGCAACACACACATTGATGAAATTCTTTAATTGCAATTATTAAATATGTCGCACAGATATGTTACATATCTGTAAAACAAATCACGGCTTTCAAAACATTTGTACACAAATGAAGCATTTCATTAATGTTGCATTTGACTATTGCAAGTATTATTTTATCCTGCTGCTGGTACACACCTTTTATTTGTAGAATGATCTGTATGTGGCATTTAAAATGGTGACATTGAAATTTTACAGGGTACGTACTAGTATTTTTTTTTTTAAATTCGGAGATATCTATGAACATTTCCATTTTTACTTTTACTAGTTCACTATTAAGTAAATAATTGTACTTTTTTCCGATATATTTATTGGAATATAAAATATTTTAATTAGATTATGCATATTTCTGAATATATTAATTTTTGCTTTTATTCAGCAGCAAAGTTTTTTTTATACAGTAAGTAAGAAATAATGTCTTTATATTAAATAATTCCATGTAAATTTATATACCACGTTTGTAATTTCTCGAATTATATGCCGAACTGGTTTTCCGTACTTAGAAATGCAACTAAGCTACCATAGTAATGTCACAAATTGAACTGATTAGCAATTTAATTGACATCATTTTAAAAAGATGTTAATGTATTGAAAATCTGTAAATCAATTTATTGCGAAAAATATTATCTCGGCCGGGAGTCGAATTCGAATCCTAAGCCTGAGATTACCGAGGCCGAAGTAATATTGTTCGCAATAATTGATAGGAATATACTCATCTTTCAGGCAACGTATAAACAATAATAAGCCAATTGTATCAAATTACTAAGTTGCTAATCAATTTAATTTGTGACATCACTATGGTAGTTGCATTTCTAAGTTCGGAAAACCAATTCGGCGCGCAATTCGAGAGACTATAAACGTGCTATATAAATTCACATTGAATTATTTAAAACACTTAAGATGCAGCTTCGACCGATATAGGTATTGCTTCTTACTTATTATGTATTCACATTATACAGTTTTAATAAAGCGTTTATTAAATACTTTTTTTACATTTACCAAAAAGTTTCAAAGAATTTAAAATAAAAGTGCAGGGCTTTTGAGAATTAATTAAATTAAATTTATTGAGAAATATTAATTAATTGATTTACAGAAACTTTAAAGAGGTCACATCAATAATAAACTAAACGAACTGTTTTGCTGAGGAAAAAGAAGAAACGGGTAAATTAGGTAATTGGGAATAATCATGAATCACATATTGCTAATATTGATTTAAAACACTGAAAGCTGCATGTCATTTTTTTCCCTCCAAACTGTGCAGTTATGTCATATTTGACCATTCGTTTTTTGGAGCAAAAAGATGACATTTGATTTAATAATAATTTGAAATTAAATTTTTCGTAACTACAGTCTTAAACATTTCCCTTATTTGAAATTGTATATATAATCACACATATATATATATATATATAAATTCATGTATTTATTCCATATATATATATACAATATATTTTTAATATATTAAATGAACGTATACACATACGTGCGCGTGTACATGTACGCACACATGAATATGTATACATAATTAATATTTGTTACTTAAATATTAAATAATTTTATAATTTTTGTATTATAAACTTGCTGAAGTACTCTTATCCCTCTTATTACTAACAACTGCCATTTGAAATTATCAGACATACATACATGCACACATGACTGCCAATTTGTACGAAATATGTCAGGGATATAAAAGCGAGGAACAGGAAAAGAAGAAATATGCATAGCAAAATTGGATTCTAATCTTATAGTAATTTCTGCAATCAAGAAGACATCAATGCTCTGATTTTTTCTAGATTTTATTATTTATTTTAATTATTTATTTTGAAAGTAAAATGTATTACCTATATGTAGAAAAAAGATATTTTAATATGGATTTTACGAATTAGACAATTTGCAATTTTCTTGCTCCAATAAAACGAATTGCACGATGATGTCATTAACAAACTAGAATAATTTAGATATAGCCCACAGATATGACGGGCAATAGATAAGCAGCAGTATATCTTACGCATATATTTACTAATGCGTAATTTGTAAACAATCACAGCTGCTTAATCGAATATAATTAATGTATAAAGTGCATTGTACTACCATAATCAATTCAAATTGTTATTATTCGTGCTTTTATTTCTGTTATTATTATTATTATTATTATTATTATTATTATAGTATTAATGTAACTATTATGTATTGTAAC